GATCAGCATGGTCCTCCCTGAATGACAGCAACTGGGAAAACCAGAGCTGCCAGTGCTAAATGACTTGCTCATGTGACATTAGTCTTTTACTGTTCGGCTTAGTAACAGCAATTCTAGTCCCCACTATGCAAAATATGCAGACTGAATTGTCTTGTTTTTTTAATTACACAATAGTGTTTGATTTTAGATATTTTTTTATTAGAATATCAATTTTTGTAAAGTTTCTCTTGGTTTTGCTCTTGAATTTTCCTTTGTGAAGCAAAGTTACATACATAGCATTTTAATCCTTCTGAATTTTTTTTCAAATTGACCTGTTGTTATGTTTTTCAAGAAAACATGGTTACTAAACCCAAAGTGGATTTCTAGTACATATGGTCAAAAAGATGGATTCATGGATTTTCAATGTAATTTAATGTGTAATGTAAAGTATTAACACTATTTAGTAAACATTATTTGAATATACAAATTAGCCCTCTTTAAATCTCATGTAATAATGGACTACAGAGTTTGTATTTCTGAAAACTGATTATTTATTAATCTAGCCTACTTTATGGTATTCCTATTTGACTGCTTAGCAAATTCAAAATCTGTTTTCGTTGCACAGGATGGAGAAATATGAAATGTGTAGATAATTGGTTTCTGCCAGACAAAAGTAATTCTCAGGAAACTAAATAAAAAAAATGCTGCTTTTAAATTAATGCTGTCTTCTTGCTTTCTTATCCACTGAATCTGTATACTTCTTTTAAAAAATTGCAAAATTACAAAGCATTTAGTGTTTTTTTCCTTGCAAAGATAGCTTAATATTCACATGCTTCTGTTGTTTCCAATAGCAGAGAGAAAATAGAAAACCAGTTCAGCTCTTAACAAAATGTCAGTTAAAACATTGTATTTTTAATATAAAAAAGACTGATTTTGCAAATCTTTTTAATATATTAGGATTAAATAGGGACATGTACAAGAAAATATATAAAAGATTCTTGGCCAAACAAAGGGGGCTTACAAAACATAAAAAGTGCCAACAAAATAAATCTTTGGTAGAGACATTTAGTTAAAAACACACATTGTATATTAATAGTAAGAAGATACACAGTAATAAGACAGGATACTTAAGAAATACTACATTTACTTTTCTCACTATAACATGAAATATTTACTTTTTGTTTTTGCACCAGAACATTGATTTGCCAAGCGAATTTTTTTTCCCATTTGTTTGGTGTATTTGGAAAGTTTTAATCGTCAGAAATAAAAGTTAAAATAGACAATGCCAATACAAACATAGATATTTTGAGACATAATTGGAATTATTTAACCAGTAAGTTGTATCATGTATAGATCTAACAGCAGTTTTAGAATTTCTTCATAAATTCTTTGCATTTTGCATTGTTGCTAAAATACCAGAATCTCATGAATCACTGTTAGGTTTTCACACATCAAATCTACATGTTTAACTATAGTCACAAAAGATGTGACTACTGTGTATTTAGAAAATAATAATAATAAAAATATTAAACTTTTTAATAATTTCTAACACAAGAGAATGCTGAAAAATATATATGAGCTTGAGATTCTATCCATCAGCAGAGTAACTCTGTGAAAATTGAACAGAACATAACTGTATTGACAAAAGAAAATTTGACTTCCAAAATGAATAGAATCAGCTTCTGAGAGAAAAATTGGGATAAAGCGACCAGTGCATCTTGAAGGAAGAAAGAGATGGGCTCAATAGGTTGCCAATGGTTCCGTTCTATTCCCACTCCACCATGCTGTCCTTCCTTCTGTCTTCCTTTTCAGACCTAAAGACGTTTCTAAGATTTCCCTTTTTTGTTCTTTTTTTAAATACAGTCATAATAATTTCTATAGTCGCTATTCAGTTCTCAGGATTACATCTTTACTTCAAATGCAAAATTGTTAGGGTCTTAATTCAGCAAGATTTACTCTGGAATAAAACTTCTGCACTAGGATTTCTGCTGTCTTAATATGGCCCCTGGGACAGTATTTTAAGATTCTCAACAATTTTGATAATATTGTAGATGAAGGCTTTAAACTTGGGAAAAGAATTTGACACTAGAGCCCTGATAAATGTGGTCCTTTTTGAGGCAACCAGAATTCCATAAAACTTCAAAAAGGGAGTTCCTTAAGCCATTCCCACTCTTTCCCACATCCCACTCCACTGATTTAAACCTTTTCTCTTCCAATGTTAACAATAATTTAAGAAAGGAAATTTCAGGATTCAAATATTGCACTAAGCCATCTTTTTTCTTAACCAAAATGTGCTGAAAGAAGACATTATTATTTCCTTTGCCCACAATGCTAAGTCATAGCCACGAGTTAGAAAATACACAATGACTGTTCATCCCACATCCGTGTTAAAGGTCTACTGGGTTCTCCATGTAAAGAACACTAGATATTGAGCGCCATAGGAGTTGCAAAAAGACCCCTTCCATTACGTTTTGATATTACTCTTTCTTTCCTCTATTATATCTTGCTATTACTCCTATAATTTTTGCCCCATCTTGAAATGGTGTAAAATCATTCCTTGAAGCTAGAAAAGAGAAGATAGTATAATCAGTGTGAACTGTTTATTTCCTCTACAGTAGCCTTATAAGAACCTCCTCAACTTGGTGAGCACCCAACATCAAGGACTCTATGTCTCATTTGGCATTCAGCCATAATCTTACAGGGGGTAGCTTCATCCCATTACCTGCTCAGCCAAGCACATACATTAAAGCTCAGAACCTCTGGGTCCTCCTCATGCTGGGCAGGACTGCTAGAGCAATTGCACATGATCAGCAGTGTAAAACTAATTTGTCACATGTCGGTCTAATCCCAACTTCTGAAATGTTCTATCACTTTTGGAGAGCAGAGTTCTCCAGTCTAATTAGAAACTATTAGATTGCTTTCACATGACATTTTTGCATGCCTACTAGCAATCAGGATGGAGAAGTCTCCACAAGTTTTTGGATTTGATTGTTTTTCTAAATGTACATCGTCAGGTGTGAATAGTTCTTTTTCCTTTATTAAGTGGATGCAGAGTAATATATTTGTAAGGTGTTTATGTATATTTTGTCCATGACTGTACAGTATTTTAATAAACTAAATTAAACTCATTTGGCTCAGCTGGAATGCAGTAACAATAATACTGGTGAGGTAGAACAATCTTAATTAGTATAAAAAAGATGTTACTACTATTAATTTAGTTTTAGGCTTAAGCTTATCATACCACTTTTTTCCCATCCCCTAAAGCATATTTTTTAAATAAAACAATTACAAGGGGATTGAAGAAGGTTATAAGTGAGTACATAATGTTCTAAAATGTATTAGGAGTGATTTTTTTTTTAGTTAGCTGAAGTTTAATTCATTAATTCATTTATTGACATACTACCCATTAATACAATGTACAATTTACAGTAATCTGCATGCCTTTATTGAGAAAAATGCATTTTTATCTTTCATAAAGCAAACAAGCAAATGAACAAATAAAATCTTGGCATGAAAGATGAAAAAATATGCCAAGGAGCAAAATATTTATTATCATTTGGCTTTAGATCACTTTGTAGGGGGAAAAATCTTTTATAAGTAATTTGCCCGACCCGCTGCCCTATAGCAGTCTTAGCTTCACCTCTGCCTCTCACCTCTAGTTTTCATGACGTGTATATAGGGGGCCCTTGACAGGGGCAATGATATCAGAGCTGCAGTGAAAGAAATGGAAAATGGTAAAATAAAAACCCACCTAACTAGAAACACGCATGCCACAGAGTTTCATCCTCCCTCCCCATTTAAAGGTTTTGCTTTGTCATTTAACTAAAAATAATAACATTAGTAGCTAATTTTAGAGTTCAAATAGTGGTTTTTAACTGAAAAAAACTTTTGATTCTTAACTATGAAATCTTTAAAAAAATTAGAAACTTCGGAGTGGCTGTATCCAATGTTGATAATTAAGTGAATGAATGGCACCCAGTTTGGGGCAGTTTATGCAGAAGGTTAGGTGCAGTAGAATCCCTCATAGAAAGAAATCCATAAATGATTCGTGTGATCCTATATTTATTTTAAAGGCAATTAAATAGTACCTCTGATTTACAAAATGTCACTGACAACAAATGAAACAATTGTTTTTCTATTAAGCTCTACTTTTGAAATTATTTAGTTATTTTTTATTTGCAAATGTTCTGGAAAGTGTAATCCCAGCCAAATTTAAGGATGTTTTTCTTCACATTGAAATAATGCTAAAATCCATTTTTTTAAAAGATAGGCATCTGTTGATTAAATCTGAGCAAGCATAGTGGACATCCACTCCTATCTGCTCAGATGTATTCTCTATGCATTTTGTTTTGGTTAAATTTTTATCTCCCTCCAGTGTTGACATATACCAGAGGAAAAATAGTAAATGAAATGCACACATCCTAGCATAAAGATTGCACTGAACTGGGCATTGCAGGCAAAGGAGGAGAAGACCTTAGCAGTGTTCAACTAACTTTGACATTAAAGTATCTTAAATGAAAAAAAGTTTTTTTAAATGAATAGCCTTGGCTTTGGAGCTCCAGATATTTTCTTTTACAATACCCAATTTATAGTGTTGTAAAATATCCAATTTATCACATCTCTTGAAATGGATACAATGAGATGCTCACAGTTGTAGTTGTAGATGTGGCTGCTCAATTTATGTGGTTTCTTCCCTTAAGAAAGGAAGTGGGAAAGAAATAATCAGTTGTTCACTGTGGTATATTACAGGAAGTGGGAAAGGATTTGTTTTACCACAGAAGAAGATGCACAACTGCAGAATTTGTTTGACTTAGCTCTTCAATTAACCTTTGTCAATCCAGCAGCCAAATCATCAGGAACTGAAATTCCCAGAGCTCCTAGCCAGTTGTTTTAAAACGTACAGTGTCACTCAGCCACAAGCTACTGACCCTGACAATTTTCACTTCTTTGTCACAATTGGCGACTTTCAGCAGGCCCAGTCAAAGTCCCTTGCACTCAAAATCAAAACCCTTTACAGCCGATTAGACCACTGGAATTCTTTTTAATTATTAAAAGCCATGTTCTTCCTCAGAAACTCTTACATAAAGTACATTTGAGTTTTAAAAGACCAAGATGGACCAAATAAATAAATAAATAAATAGATTAACACTGTATAGAAACAAACAACTACCACAACCGATATCAAGGGGAACTATCAAATTGCAGTCAGGATGATTACTAACTGACTGACTGATTATGGAGATGATGTTTCTGACCAGCATTCTGGGATGTTGCTGCTTGTGTTGGGAGAAGGGACCTCAGAGTCTTCAAGGAGAGTCAGTTCTTCCATGTGTTCCAAATGTGGATTCTGCTGGAACAGGCCCAGTATCCTTTCTCGTGGATTCACACCAGTTTGCGGCAGTCCTTGCTCCCCAAGGACCTTGACGAGGAAGTTGATGTACCTCATGGCTAAGCGAAGAGTCTCATTCTTGCTCAACTTTTTGTCAGGCGGATGGGTGGGAATCAGCTTTCTCAGCTTGGCAAAGGCACTGTTGACGTTTTGTTGCCTCCACCTCTCCCTGCTGTTGGTGAAGATTTTTCTGGTCATCCTCAAGATTGGAAGAACTAGGAAGAGAATGAGAGGAGGAGGGATAACATTAGAAAATACATAATAAAAAGACACAACGGCTCATTCAACTGCAAATGAGGTACAAGGTGTGACTCCAAGAGTTGAGTTACGGTACTTAATATTGAAAATTAAAGCTTCTTAATAACAGGGCCTCCAGCAGGAGATACCTTACCTGATACAAATGTAGTATTGCCCCTGCATATGTATTCAGAGGTATCTGATTCTAAGCAAAGAGTTCTATTACTATTGTAGCATCTATGCTTACATGTAGACATATTGTAGATACTGAACCTATAAGGTGCTTCCTTGTGCCAAAAGCATGATGTTTCTTTTATTGAGACCAACCAACATGCACAAAAGGATGTATAAGCATTCTCCAGATATATTTATTTATTTCTAATGAAAGAATTTTGTGCAATAATAACAGCAGTACAAATTTAAGAATGAGAAAAAGAGTGAAGAAAAGTAGTGAAAAGATAAAGAAAGGAACAAGGAAGAAAAAGAAAGGAAAGAAATATAAAGAAGTGGCTTTCAATCTTCATAGCAGTTCTGTATACATTTATTATCAGTCCTTCATCTTTCATTTACATTATGATTTCTTTCTTCCCATATTTTACCTTTCTAATAATCAAATCCATAAATCACTGATTCATTTTTTTCTGTTTTCAGCAAAACATCTATAAAGAATTTCTAGAATGCTTCATATGGCAAAATTCAGGGAAACACAAGGAAGTACAAAAATGTTCATTTTTTTTAAGCAAAGCAGTTTTAAGTAAAGTTATTGCTATGCTTATGATTTTACTTCATCTCTCCTTTGCTTTACAACTGCAAATGCAAGGATTGGTCACAAAATAACTTTGTCATCACTGTCATCACTGCCAATGGTCCCTAAAGAGACAGTTGCTAAACAATTTGTAGCATAAATTATTATTTGTCACTGACCTTAAACAATAACAAATGGGTAGGCCATGTATTCATGTTTGTCATTTGTTTTTGCCCTCATTTCTACTAGCTAAGTATATTTGCTTAGTAGCAGCTGACACGAATTGCCGCTGAAATGGAATATATTTAAGATGTACCAATCTTTGTGAAGAAGTAAATTACTAAAAATTATCTGAATTATGAGAAACACTTGTGTTTTGTTGTCAGAGAAACATAACAGTTTTGCACTCCTTCAGAATCACCTCTGGTACAAAAAGAAAACAAAACAAAAATCAGTTCATACAGCTGTTTGTACAGAGTGCCAGTTTGGTGTAGTAAATTAAGCCTAGAAACTTGGAGACATGTATTTAGTCCTTTCTTAAGCATGAAAGCTGGTTGGGTGGTTTGGGACGAATCGGTCTCTCTTGGCCCAAATTATTATACACGGTTATTGCTGTAGAGGAAAATAGGCATTTTTATTTTAGATATAGGTAGATAGGTGATGATATAAAGATGATGGATGGATGGAGGAATGGATGGATGGATGGATGGACAGACAGACAATGGTGTCTGAAAATGTGGGATATGGGGGGTAATCTTATATTCCTTTTTTGATTGGTGGAGATCTAAGGGTTTTTGTAATTCCAATAGGTTCAGCAGAAAAAGGCTTATACATCAGCAGAAAAAGGCTATACTCTGTGCCATGGGTGTCTAACCCACTGCATCATGCTGCCGTCACGTGACATTTTGTGATGTTTTTCCCATTCACAGAGCTGGAGTAGACGTGGCCTGCACATGACACATCTGGCCTGCAGGTCGCCAGAGATATAAACTGTAACTCTAAGACTTGTAGACTTCAACTTCCAGAATTCCCCATGCTGGCTGAGGAATTCTGGGAGTTGAAGTCCACAAATTTCAAAAGTTGCTAAGGCTGGACACCCCTTGCTTTATAGACTCTGTTACATGGATTTATACGATCTGAAAATAACATGGATATGTACGATTAATCCTGAAAGGATAAGACTAGTGCAGTGCAGCATAGTTGGGCTCTCAAATTCCAGTGAAGTAAATAAATGAACAAATAATAATAACTGAAATCCATAATGCCAGTCTAAACCAGTATCCCTCTTCCTTTACTTAGGTAGCAAATTAATATACTTCATAAACACATTAAATACTGTAGTAAATGAAAAGCCTGTAACTTCCCATTAGCACAGCACTCCAGTGTAAGCAGCACTATTTGTTGAAGGGCAGCAAGAGCTGTCTCACTTTCTTTCTTTGGTGCTCTTCTTTTGTCAATACAAGCCCTGTGAGCAAATAGCAGGCTTTGTGATTTACTCCCTTAGAAGGCATGTTTTAAAAATGCACCCTTGTATCTCTGACATTTGAACAAGATCGGCAAACAGTAATACCCTCTTTCTCCATCTTGGGTATCTTGCATAAAGAGTTGTTCCTGGTTGCTCTTTCATAAGATGGGAGTAAAAGAACATTTTATGGCAACCAGGCATGAAACCCAAACCATTTATTCACATCCTGGTTGTGCTACCCAGTAATGGTTTGTCTAATTGTTCTATGCCATCAAAAAATTATAGAATAACAACAGCATATCCCAAATCATGCAGCATTTCAAGTGACATTGAGATTCCACCATGGTCTAAATTCGGTTGGTTATTTGGGGGTCTTCTGAGCAATCCCCACAGATGCTGTTATTCTGCTTCCCTGTTCTATTGTGATGCTGATTTTCAAAATTACAATTGTAGTGAATGTAGAATTCAAATTAAGTTACTCCTGAGAAGCACCATAAAAAGAATTAATTATGACCAATTTAGAGTTCCACTAATGTAAATAAGAGATAGGCTGGGCTATGCAAATACTCCTTGTGAACTCTAAAAGCAATTTATTTGAAGGGCAAGTATCTAAGTGTATTCATTAAAAGCTAATAGCATGCAGTATATTCTAGTAAAGTGTTGTTCTTGTATTCTTTGTATTGTTTCAGATGGCACACCAAGAAAATGGCTGGAAAGTCTGATTGGGGTTTGTTTTTTTTTTACTGACAGAGAAGCATCCCAACAATTCAGACCCATGTCTTATTTTTAGGAAGAATCCCTCCAAAAAAGACATCCAGCAAGGGTTCCACAGAGTCCTATACAACAAGGTTTATATGGCAGCCAGAAAACAGACAGGAAAATTCTCCAGAGCTACCATCCAGGTCCAAAGCCTTACATAGCTTGTATTTCAAGAACACAGTTGGCTCATCAAATCTCTTAAAACATAATTATTTAAAGAGAAGGGACAGTGAAACTACTTAAGAGGAAGTAATATATTTTGCTATCTCTTTTTCCGCTCCCATTCAACAACATCTTCATCTCAGAGACTGCCTGGACCGATCTCTACAGTTTTTTTGGCAAGGTTTTCAGAAGAAGGTTGCCACTGCCTTCTTCCTCAGGCTGAAAATGAATGACTGGCACCAGGTCACTGAACTGACTTTGTGCCTAAGGGAGGACTAGAAGCCATTGTCTCTGGTTTTCTAAGCTCATGTCTTAAACACTGCACCAAACTGATTCTGGTCTCAGTATCAGAGGAACCAAAATGGTACCCATACCTCTCTTAACCTCTACAGGGGGGAGGGTACAACAACAATACTGAATATCCAAATAAATAAATTAATTAATAACATGCAGAGGGAACGAATTAAGAAAGCACCCCAGGACAACTCATAGAAAAAGGAGCCTAGTCAGAGACTACAGAAAAAAATTAAATAACTGTAGATGAGACGGGAATGATAGACCGAAATGGAATGTCACGGAAATTAACATACTGTACATTCATTCCTCATTCTCTGTAGGCTTCACGTTCTTGAAAATCTGCCACAAAAACATAAACTGTGATTATTGAGGTGTTGGCCTTAATGAGATCACATGACATATTATTAGAATGATGGGGAGATTTGCTAACACAACAAACATGCAAGAATAAGAATGTGGTTTCCATTGTATTGAAACTGCATGCTAAGGCTCTTTTTTTCTGGTTGCACATGGCTGCGCATAGATGCATGTAACCTATATTTTATTAAAGATGGGCTACACGTTTATAGAAGCCTATAAGCAAATCTGTGCAAACTGAATGCATGGATAATGAAGACTTGAGTTGTTTAGGAGTCTGAGCAACACACTCAGATTTATTATTTTGTGTGCAGAGCCCCTTGCTTTCCTGCATTAAGAAAGCAGAGTATATAAAACCCTTTATCTGCTTCGGTTGCCATGTTCTCGGCAAAATTTGCCAGTGAAACTATCTACTTCTTTCTGCTTCACAGTTCAGTAAAAAATATTTTAGCAGCATTTAGCTGACTGTTGGCCAAAGCATTCAACTCTGGAAAAAAATTGGTAATAATATAAGTAAAAATTAAATATTTTTTAACAGTCTGAGGTGTCCTTAGACTGTTATTGTTGGAATGAAAGCAGTCAGGGAGGAGAAATTGATCCAATAGATATACCTACATAACCCTTGTAGGCCCTCCAGGGAAGTTGTTCCCTATTTTATCATATACTTTAAAGAACAGCAGTGGTTACTCAAGGAAGGACATATACAGGAATCCCTGGAAAAAAGGGTGTTTTGTTGTGTGTAGGAATACATTTTGTGGAATTCTGCACTTCTCTTTCCTAAGACATGGATCAAGGAAATTTGTGTTGAATGTTCTTAGAGCAGCATCAATGAGGAAGAATGGTTTATTCTCAGTAAATCCCAACACTGTTTTAATTCTTTTGTTCTGGGTAGTCAACAACAAACTCCCAGACACAAAACACAACCGAAACACAAAAAAATTGAATTGCAACTGAAGGCATATCTAATGAAAAGATACATCCCAGGAACTTTTCCTTAAAGCTTTCGTGAGCAAAGAATCAACCCGTAAACTATTAAAAGCAACCATTTTTAAAATTCAGAAAGAAATTTAAAATCACAATCTTAATGCTTAATGTTGGAAAAAGAGTGGGGGGAAAGAGGGTACAACCAATAACAAGGTGGATGGATTCAGTTTCAGCTATGATGGGTTAATTAGTAGAAGACCTGAAGGACCAGAGTATGGACAAATCTTCTGGAGAAAATCTAGGTATATCTTCTTGCTTAACAATGAATACCAACTTGATAATGAATAACAAAAAATTACTCTTCGCATTTGTAGACATTACTTATGAATTTTCAAGTGACAGACTTTCACCAATGTGAACAAATGTATCCACAATGCTAATGGTCCCAGATGTAAGGAGAAAGTGGGAAAGATTTAGCTTCTGGCATGCTGCAGATACGTACCCTTGGCAGCACCATCACAGAAGTCTTCCATCAACAATAAATGTACCCTATGCTCAAGGACGCAAAGCTGACCGAACTTTTTGGCTGAGTGCATTATAAATAGATGGGGAGCCACCCAAATGGAATTCAAGCACCCTAGGAGGATAGAGGGACACCAAATTGGGAGGAGTCTGCTCTGCCTGAACAACAACCCAGGAGGCTGGTCCATGGAGTCAGCCTATGATCTGATTGGGAACAAAAATGTTGAGCCATTTCTGGGATCACCCAGAAGGATGGTCTGCACCTATGTCTCTCTGAAAGTCCTTGGAGAAGCCACCACTAAATGCTCCCCTGCCTATCCGCATGGGGAATGGAAATAGAACACAACATCTTCCACCAAGAAAACAACATTTGCACTAAATCTGACTGGGCAAGCTATTATATATAAGCAAAGAGTAGACACCACTACCACTCGCCATTCCCTTCCAACACTGAAAATCCTCCCTAGTCGGATAATGAAACATTAGTAGCCAAACTACCATCTCAGAGAGTACCAAGGACTCCACAATTCAACTCTGAACTACCTATCTTCTCTTTTGTTGGTAAAACACTATCAAACTGGACCCATATTACTGAGAATACTGGTTCTGTATGCGTAAGATCCAACCACAACTTCAGTCTTAGTTGTTCTTCGTAGGGTCAGCTCTTGATATGTGCATCTTTTTAAAAAAAATGGTATTCCTATTTTCTCTTGATTTGAAAACACAGAAACCTAACCTAATTTATATTTTAATTAGAAACAAGTAATAAAAATAAGAAGGTACAAACTATAAGCATACATTTTCAAGCAGTTACATTTTAAAATTTAAAACAAAAATACAAAAATAAATAGGTTTTCTTCAAGTGAGAGGCTTCAGAATTTGTACCTCAACTTCGAACTATGGTATACTAAAAAGAAAAAAGAAAAACCTGCAGAATTTTGGATTAGAGTAATCATGCAGCAATTAAACGCTCCTGAATTTAATGGGACTGCATTCAAAGTGATACTTAAATTCACCTAATGGCTTGCTTTTATCTGAATTACCAGAAACATAACAATTAAAAACCTAGCAAAACAAGCTAAATTAAAAAAAAACATTCACTGGACAAGAAAGGAGAAAGCAGTCATTTGGTAGTGTTTAGAAGAGACACTCATTTGCAAATCCATCTATTCAAAAATGATGTCTTCACTGTTTCCAGTAGGTTTTTTTTTTTGTAAATTTATTCTTTGATTCATATAAAAGTATAGCATAAATCAAAATTATCATGCAGCCCTCCTCAAAATAATGTTAATTATGTAGAGGAAAGCTTTTCTGAACAAAAAAAAGAGTGGGAGAATAACTAAGATAAAATATAGCCCCTTCTTGCTTCCAATGTAGAGGAAAAGTAGTTTAACCGTTTCTTCCTTTTTTCTAGCCAAATCACCCCCAGAAGCAGGGAACAATTACCTCTTTCTCCAAGAGCAGAATTTCAAACCAGACTATCTTTGACCTCAAAGATACACATACCACAATCATATGTAAATTGAATTCAGGTGCAATCAAACAAAAAGTTACTATGACGATATAAGAATATTTCCTATAAGAGTTTTGTAAACTTCAGCTTCAGGTATGTGCATCGTGGAAGGGATTCATATCAAGACCAAGATATAGGAAGTAGGATTTAATCCCTTCCTCATTCATACTTTTCTCCATAAAAATTACCACTCAGTCCCCTGACATTGGTTCTCCTTAGCCAAAGCAATGAGCAGCAGGAGTGCTTTTATGTGGTGTCTTGCAGTGTCTGGATTGCAAATCATAATCTGCCATTTGCACCAGGTTTCAGTTAGATATACTTCTAGAAGTGGTATTTTTGTGAATAGGTCAGGCTTGGGTTTTAGAATTCTGAAGAGCAGAGTCAATGTAAGATAATTAGGGAAAGGTGTTGAGAAGATTCCGCCATGTTAAATTTCTTGTTCATGTCCCTCATTTTCAGGGAGAGAATTAAAGATGGGCTTAAATCATTCTCGCTGAAAACATCATGGCTCTTGATTGGATAAAATATGTGGCATATATTCAGCAAATTCCTATGTGCGTGTAATAACATATTGCTATAAGGCAAATGTTTTGACATGCTTTTCCATTAAAATAAGCTGTTGGTGATTATATTAGCACCTCTGTATTGCCCTTTTTTCCCTATAATACTGAAATGGCTTTTGATTAAATATGGATTTTGTTTGATTGCTGTCACATTGTGAGTAAAAGTTCCAAATATAAGCTGTGTTTAGTTGTCATTGATACATTTTTAATAGCCTGGGGGCTATTAATTTAATTTTTAAATTTGATTAATTCAACATTGTTGATGGAATAGATATTGATTTTTTGTTATTATTCTAATCAGAAGTACCCAATTCTTCAAATAAGAATAAGCATTGTTTCAGTAGCATTCAATAGTACTCATTTCATACAGAGCCATTATTACAATGGTTATAGCATCAGGATAGCTTTCTAGGAATTTACATGAAATGCCACATTACAAATTTATATTCTATCTCTTGGAATAATTTAAAGGTTAGGTGAAATACTGTAAATATACAGACGTGTCTCATGAACTAGCAAGATTTTGTAGTAAAATGTAAAGAAGTGTTTCATTTAAAAAAATAATAGACAGGCTCATAAAGTAATTAGTAAATTGGGAATAAAAGGAATACACCTTTCATATTATACCAAATCCACAAAGTGGTATATATCTAATGCTTCTCCATGGCTTGTTTGTTCATTTTATATGCAACGAGTGACCAAATCCTAAGAGGTTTCTTATAAAGCTTAAGAATGTGATTTCCTAAAGTTGCTATTTTATCTTTATGTTCCCATTTATGGGATGTTAGTCAGACCTTCAACTAGTTAAGTCTGTAATTACAGCGTTTAAAACAACAATTTGAAAAAATAATTGAGGCAAGCAGTCTGTTAAGAGGAGGCACTTCATACATTGCCTCAGCAAGATCACACGGGGGTTTTGTATCACGCATGTCAACATAGGGAAGATCAGAGTCCTCACTTTTAAAAAAAACAAAAACAAACATGCAGTGAAGGCAAAGGGCATTTTCAGGAAAACATGAAAAGCTGCTGTGGTGCACCTGAAAACCTTGAGTACGCCTTTATTTAGGGAAGTTTTCAGAAGACAAAATTCCCCAAATACTGGGTGGTGGGGGGTGGAGGGAAGGTGGAAGAAATACAAATAGTTTGCAACTTACCTTTTCCAAACAAACAGGAGAATCTGGCTGTAGAGAAATATTCACAGCAGCTGAAGTCGGCAAGCGTCTCCTCTTCGCAGCTCTCGGGTCTCTCAGCTTCAAATCGCCAAAGCCTCTTTCCTGACAATCCAGCCAAATGCCAATCCCAGCCTGCCGTCTCATTTATAGAATCTGGGCTCCTTTGTCTGGCGCGTGTCAGCACTAATGTGGCTGATCCTGGCAGTTTATTCCACATCTCCTGGGAGATTCTTTTCATGCTGCCATCTTCTTCCCTACTTACTCCCAAGTGGGAATAGGTGGAACCAGCGGTGTGATGCTTTGTTCCAAAACACAAGAGTTCCTTCAAATCCAGGGCACTTAGGAGAAAGCCTGGAAGCTTGGGGTTTTCCAAAAAGCCCAAACTCGGCAAATTCTGCAGCTTTAAGTCTGGGCCAGGCCAAGATCAAATTTTGCTTTGGTATCTAGCAGGAAATGGATTGTTCAGCTATGGATCTGGTGCATCAAAGCATCAAATCAACATGCAGTGTCATGTACTCCTCCTCATTAAGTATCACAACAATTAGATTACAGATTTGGGGTAGAGAGCAGGATGGGAAAGGCTAGCTTTTACAAGAGAGGTAGCTAAGTGCTCTTGTCCAAAATTAATATATAAATTAAATGCATTATGAAAAGAAACCTTTATGAATCATGACGGCTGTTCCTTTTACAAGATAGGCAACATTTTTGTATCTGATACCCATGCAGATAGTAAAATATTTCATATCAATTGCAAGTATGTTTAGATGTCTAATTGAAAATGAGGGACCTAGGGGAAAGATAATCTATTGCTTCACAGATGTTGATGGGCAAAAAATCTCAGGTGCAAAGCATTTCACATGTAGAGCAAGAGCAGCTCCCTTAATCTCAGAGATGAACTGGAGGAGGCTGGTGGTTTATGGATTTACCATAGGCTGTAAATATACAAATGACCACCAATCAGCCCAGAGGGTGGGATGTCTCATATCTCTTTGCTGCCATCAAGTGGTTATATGCCTCAATATCAATTGATGGTACAGTATACCTACCAGAGGTGGGTTGCTTTCGGTTCAGCCCAGATCAGGCAAACTAGTAGAAGCAGCAGTGGGAGGCTCCACCTGCCCATCCAGACTCTTCTGTGCATGCACAGGAGCGTCATGCACGTGCAGGAGCGCCCACGGGAGAGCTCCCAAACTGGTACTAAAAACATTGGCAACCCACCACTGATACCTACCATACCAATTGGTGATTTCCAGAGATATTGGTTTGGCAATTCCCATAATTCTCCTTTGAACCTTTGGTTCAGTTGGAAAAGGCATCCTATTCTGATTTGTCTGCCTATAGAGTAGCTTCAGCTAGGCATTGTATCTCTCATATCTTGAGAAAAAAGAAGGCCTAATGTTGCAGGAAAGTACAAGTTTTGTAGAAGTGCAGAACATCTCTCTTTAAAAAGCTTAAGGATTACACAGAGAGAGGGGGGGAGATTGAGTAGGACTTGAAGAGGCCTAATATCTTGTTAGCTCTTCAAGGTAATCTAGACAAGAAGTACAATTATGAGTACTAACTCTTATCACAGGTTTCATCAACAGAATCTTGTAAAATTGAAAATATTTCTCCCCTCTTTTACTTTTACTTTCCAGAAAACTAGGAGAGGGTCTCTTCTGAAACTCTTCCCATGCTCCCCAATCTTTTGGTGGCTAATATATCTTTTATACGATGATTCTCAGCTCTTCCCCCTATTTCCCAAGATCAATTTCACATACCATCACAGTACATATTTTGGCTGAACTTTTATTATTATGTTATCCTGGGACAAATAGGTCTACCTGACAGGAATGCTAAGAAGTAGCCCTCTTGCAGAAAGACAAGAAAACAGGTCTGGTTTTCAAGTCCTATTCCATACTCCTTCTCTCCTCTAGTTTACCAAAGGAAGAATAGACCACAGTATGTGACCTAGATACATAGCAAAAATACCCTTTGCTGAGCCCCTGAAAAATGTCCAGACATTAAATGATGATTTATAAACTGCTGGCTGGGTTGCACAACCTTGCCTTATGTACAAAAATATCCAATTTTTGCATCATGTTTTTATTCAGTGTCTCCTCCAGGTTGTCTTATTATTTCTGATTTTTTTCCCCTTCAACTTATCAAGAAATAGTGAACTATAAATTTCAGAATGTTTCTGTGATATGTAAAAGTCTAAAACCTGGCAAACCTAGGTTAGACAGCTTTCTCCAATCAGTTGTCCTCAAATCTGCTGGACCAAATCCCAGGATTTCTGTCCACAGTGGATAATAATAAAATCTGTTCTCCTCTCAAACCGCTCCCCCCCCCCAAAATCTCCTCACCACACCATTTAAAAAGTACTAAAGAATCTCAAAAGGCCAGCAAATTAATGTAATCATTTCTAGTACTTGTGAATATTATTATATACAATCATGTATCCTGAACAGAAATAAGGCATCATTAACAATATAAAATAAGTAATAAAATAAAATTGGAGGGGGGGATTATCACCTCTGAGGGAGTTTAAAGACATTAACCATTTTTTTTAAGGACTTAAAGAATCTTTTTTAAAAAATTTAACACGGTCCAAGAATGTCAACACTTAAAATTTCAGTGGCTTGGAAAAACAGGCCACACATTCATGTGTTTGTGAGTTCCTCTCCAGAAGGAATAAACTGGAGGCTGTTCTTTTCTCATGGTAAATTAAAGCCACAGACTTGCCCGCTGAAAGCTCTGTCAACCGCTTCATTTAGCACAAGTGTTATGTTAACTAAATCCCTCTCTGCCCCATTTGGAAGAGGCCTTTGGCCTCACAGAAGTCTCATTTCCATGTAATTTACATTGGAAAGTTTCCCAAAGCGCCTACCTTCACCTCCAATCACCTCCAACCCATTATTTATCCGCTGCTTGAAGCAGAGGGATGTTCCGGCCAGCAGTCTCTAAGATTGGAGTGTGTGTTCCTCTAGAACCCATTTATATCTCTTGAGGTGCCAAAAACTCCCCCAAATAAATGCATCCACTCATCTACTGCCTGTGCAACTTTTGCTGAGGGAACGGATTTGTGTTGAATCAAAACATAAACCATTAAACTCAAACTAAATCATTATTCAGAACATTCTTGTTGTAATCAGGGGTGCACTTGACTGAAAACACTGACACCGGTTCAGTGATATTTATTGTGTAGGGACGTTGTCTGTCTCTCTTGTATTGTATTGCTCAACCTTTTGGCCGCCCTTCACAAGAGCTTTTACAAGGGTGGCTAAGTGGGCAGGACATGTCAAGGGGGAAGTATCCAGTTTCCATGAAGTGTAGGTAAACTTTGATTCCTAATGTCTTTTGAACCTCCCGCGCCGCAATTCGTAGTATTAGGAAGCGCTAACTTATGCAGCAATGTTACACTGTCCCTCAAAGCACATTCAAAGTAGTGTCTTGAAAGTGCTAGGTAAAAATGACTTCCTAACAGCAATCGCTTAGATGCATTTGCTTTTATAAAAGTGTTTTTGCCAGGCACTAATATTTCAAGAGACAGTAGAGAACATCTCAGCCTTTTCCCACAACACACTTCATCTGACCTAGTAGGAACTAGTAGACTAGTTTCTTTGTTGCAGGACTGTGATGGCGAACCATCTTTTGGACTCCGCAGATCAGAAATTCAAGAAAATGCCTAACTTGATTCTGCTAACTTGTCTCCTCACACTCGGACCGGGGGAAAAAAAACAATTCATAAGAATGAGTAATACATTAAATTAAATTATTTAAATTTATGAACAAACAAACAAATACATATATAATTGTAAATGTTTTTCAAAACACCTATCCGAAGCAGCTCCGGGTCACACAAAGTCTGGAAATTGGAGAATGCTCCTTCATGGCCTTCCCTTCCCGAAAAGAGCAGGAAAACACATTGTGTTTGGAGGAGTTTTTTGGAAGCTCCAGAGGCCGTGCAAGAATGTCTGGAGGCCTGGCGTGTCCCCAAAAATCATATGGTGTATCACCTGTGACACCTGTGTCATAGGTTCGTCACCACTGTTACAGGAGGACATACAGAGCTCACCTGATCCCACAAAGTCCTAGGTCCTAGGAGATTAAATTTAGCCCTAAACAGACCCAGGGTTAAACTAATTCTACCCAGTCAGTTATGGTGTCAGAGCAAGCTAAGCAACAGTGAATTGGGGTAACTGGGTATTTGAATATCTAACCCTCTCAGAAAAAAGATCGAGAGAGAAAAAAAATAGTTGGAAAACACCAACTTCTTTGAAATCGTTGCCAAAAAGGAGCAACTTAGAAACATCTCCCAAACACTGATTGGCTGCAGTCTGCAAGCACCGCCTACTGCCACCTGCTTCGCCTATGGAAAGGGACTAGTGATTTTCCTGATGTAAAGTTTCAGAGAATATGACTCATTTGCACAAATATGTAAGCAGGGACTCTATTCCTCAAAAAAGTTATTTTTAAGGCAGTGAATATCTTGGGAAAATATTTTTTAAAACTACTAAAGATATTTGAAGTGGTTAAGTATGTTGTGGGAACAGGCTCACAAACACTGAATAACATTTCATCTAAATTTTCCCCCTTCCTGTCGAGCAACTATTGGATGAAAGAATTTACATCCTATTTTAGTACTTCAATGAAACAGTCTAATCCCAGATACTGTATTTTTATGGGGGGGGGGTTAAAACTTTTATTTGAATTTGAATTTTTTTGTGTTTCCAATTTTATATTACATATTTATCTTATATTTATAATATATATATTATGTATTTTAATTATTGAGATCATCCCAAAGTCATATTTAAGAGGGAGGGGGGAGGGAGGGAGGGAGGGAGGGAGGGAGGGAGGAAGGAAGGAAGGAAGGAAGGAAGGAAGGAAGGAAGGAAGGAAGGGTATGTAAACATTTGAAGGAGTTGGAAATGGCACTTTGGGTCAGTGTATTTCTGAAGAAGTTTCAAGAGGCAGCTTTGGGGAGTGGTTTCTATGTTACATATATACTGTGTTTTTTAAAATATTGCCTATTTTATCAAAATAAACAGTAATGTTCAGATTACAGATCAAGGCTCTAAAAGCTTTTATTAGAGGAAATAAAATGAAATAAACTTTGCCCATCTGTTAGTAGATGTAACCAACAGAAATCACGATAAGAGATTATAATAAATCTGGATTTGTTCTTCAAAGAAATGTAAACATAAACCATTCTCAAACAAAAATAGCATGTAATATAACAGCTGCGTCTGCCTACTGCAAAACCAAATCTCAGTCATAACCTTTAAAACTTAAAAATTTATTGTCATTAAGATACCCGAAACAGGAGTGAGTATGTGATATATTGTAGGGATATATAGTTCAATTTAATTCCTGACCTTAAACTTTTCAAAAATTTTGGCTGGATTCAAAGAACACACTCAACCAAGAAATGTTAACAGGGATTACCAACGAGAGTGTATCTGAGGTTACTAAACACTTGCTAAAATTTAATGAAGAAGAAAAATAAGAGAAAAAGATTAAGTCCTTTCCACAGCAATCATTGCTTGCTTAAAGTTTATGAGGTACCGGTAATAGATTTTCATCATCAGAAATAACAAGGTCATAACAATATAGCAAGCAGCTTAAATAAATATACTCAGCTGTAACGACAGAACAACTTTCAAACTCAAGGCGCACACACACACACACACATACACACACACACACACACACAGAGGGTTTTGTGCTGTTCAAAGTTTTAGCTTAATTTCCCTGTGATTCCACAACTTCATTCCTTTAGTGGAGTTTTCTATCAGCTCCGTTGTGATGCAGATAACAAAAAACATGGTGGATTATGCAAAATATCTTTAAAAGAAGGATAAAGTTTACTCCTCAGTTATTCTTACTAGGTATATGTACTGACTTTACAGTGATAGAGACTAACTTGATTCTGCACCTAATAACGGCAGCAAGACTGTTGGTGGCGCAATACTGGAAGAAGGAAGACCTGCCTACAACTCAAGAATGGACATTGAAAGTTACAAACTTAGCCGAGATGGCTAAAATATCGGCATATCTTAAAGATCACTCAAATGAGAGATGTAAACGAGACTGGAAAAAATGGATTGACTATATACAAAATAAATACGGGACCAAGAAATTCCAGAAATGATTTAAATTGTTTAAAGTTAGCTCAGCAAGAAGAAGCTAAGATCAATGTAGAGATGTCATTAATTTCTTTATTTCTTTTTTCTCAATAGATTTTAGACTGTGTTTGTTAAAAATCCATACCGTGTACGGGTTCTGGGAAGTCAGGGGGGGGGGAAGAGGAGGGGAGTTGGGGGGGGAGGGTGGAGGGAGGGAGGGGTATACATTAGGCTAGACAAGAATTTGGTGGTAAACTAGAACTATTTTGACACGCAAAAAATTGTACTCCGATGTCTTACTGATTGAGGAATGATGAAATGTTTCTTTTAAAAGAAATAAAACTTTTGAACCTGAAAAAAAAAAAAACATTGCTGAGAAATAAGCCATTTCCCCCTTGAGGAGAACCTCTTCTTTCTCTGCAGAGTTCACACACTACAGTATGAACAACATCCATAGAAAACTGTGGTGTTGATAGTCCTTGACTTACAACCATTCGTTTCGGGACTGTTCAAAGTTTACAATGACACTGAAAAAAGTGACATACAACCAATCCTTGCACTTACAAAGACATTTATGGGATATGGAGTCAGGTGATCACCATTGGTGACCTTCCCAGCTGACTTCCGGCAAGCAAAGTCAATGGGGGAAGCCAGATTTACTTAACAACCACAAAACTCACTTAACAACTACAGAGATTCTCTGAATCATGGCTAACAAAATCATAAAATCACGTGTTTCTAACTTAACAACTCTCTTGCTTAACAACAGAAACTCAGATCCTAAATCAAGGACTATCTGTAATGCCATAATGATACATGTACAGTGATGGCATCATACAATGAAGACATCACATAGATGCCACCGTTATATATTTGTCTTCCAACATCTGACGTCTATGATTTGTGGCATTCGCAATATCATTCGCTTCTCTTGGCTATGTGGGAGTGTCTATATCTGGTCCAGCGGTGGGATTTACCTATCTTCCCTACCGGTTCGCAA